TTTGTGGTCCTGCAGGGGGCTACAACAGAGAGGAGTGTCTGAGGACTGTGGAGTGCTACAACCCCAACGAGGACTGCTGGACCTTCATGGCGCCCATGCGGACTCCCAGGGCTCGGTTCCAGATGGCTGTGCTGATGGTTGGTCTAACCGCTCGCTCTTATCTCACTTTATCGTTTAGTCTACAATAAAGTGGCATTTTGAATATTGACCAAGTGCGCTTGTACCTGTTAGGACTCGTTCCACTTGTCTTTGGTAAACAGTAAAGTATTTAACAACTCCTTGTTCAAATAACTGGGCTCCTTAATTGGTCCCTGCAGTTCAGAATGTGTTAATTTCTTGTTTTGTGTCCTGGCTGCCTCCCTCAGGGTCAGCTGTATGTTATCGGGGGTTCCAATGGACATTCTGATGAGCTGAGCAGTGGGGAGATGTACGATCCACAAACTGATGAGTGGGTTCAAGTGCCAGAGCTGAGGACAAACCGCTGCAATGCAGGTCAGCCCGCTGTACCGGGGATCATTACCTTTTCATAAGAACAACACCTCATTAACATTTTAAACTCGATTTACTGGCTGGTCTGACTCTCCGCTGTGTCCTCTCCAAAGGTGTCTGCTCCTTGAACAACAAGCTTTATGTTGTCGGAGGGTCGGACCCCTGCGGGCAGAAGGGCCTGAAGAACTGTGACGTTTTTGACCCTGTGGCAAAAACCTGGTCTAACTGTGCCTCCCTTAACATCAGTATGTATCTGTTCAGTTCCACAGTCGTACATCTGTCAAATACAGTGCACCAAGGGTTAGCATCATGGGCGCTGAAAGCCCGCCCATTAGGCCAGATACAGTATTGGCATGCAGAATTTGCATATATGATACTTGAAATACAGCATTCTACCATAACTAATGCAATTTGCGTGCTTTGAATATATCATGCTGAGATAAATGCAACCAATGTCGGCATATTTGGAAATGTAAAGATAAAAAAAACAAAAAAACAAAAGAAGCTGCACTGAAGCTGCATTGTGTTAAATTTCATAGGATAATGCAGGCAGCTGAAAAAATCAGACTCTGCACTGAAGCTGCATTGGTAACAACAGCAATTTTGTTTCCAGGGAGACACCAGGCCGCAGTGTGCGAGTTGGATGGCTTCATGTACGTGATTGGAGGAGCAGAGTCGTGGAACTGCCTGAACACCGTAGAGCGCTACAACCCTGACAACAACACCTGGACTCTGGTGGCCCCCATGAACGTGGCCCGCAGGGGAGCCGCTGTGGCCGTACACGCAGGTGAGCCCGACCACAAACCACAGAGTTTTAATGGGATTTTATTTCATAGACAACATGGTAAAATGAAGCGAATTGGAAGTTAAAAGGCGTATGGAGGTGTGGAGTGCATTTGTGTTCAGCCTCTTTCCTCTGAGGATCTTTGTGAAGCGGGAAAAAACAATGGTGGTGGCAGAACATTTGGTCAGAATTGATTTAAAGTCTCAAGAAGCAGGATATTGACTCTGGACTTAGTCATATCAAATGATTTAGGTCCAAGCAAATTCACAGGTTAGAATGGCCTAGTCAAAGTCCAACTCTAAATCCAATTCAGAATCTGATTCTCTGAGCTTGAACTGTTTTGCAGAAAATAAAAAAAAAAACCCAAAAAAAAAACTTTCAAGAGATGGTATTTTGTGCAGACCACAATTTTTTATTTTTCTCTTAAATGTCCTTTTAGGGGCTCCATATTTCCCCATCAATGCTGTTTATATTTAAAAAAAAAAATATTCTTGGCATGATCCTGCTCCCACCATGTTGGGGATATGACACTAGTCATATTCAGGCAAATACAAATGTACACCACACTTTTCAGATTTTTATTTGTAAAAATATTAAAATCAGACGTGGATTTTCCTTCTGCTTCACAATTGCGCTCTGTTCTGTTTGTCACATAAAGTCCCAATGACATACTTAGAAATGTTCCTCTTTTTTTTTTTCCCTTCAGGTTTCCATTCCTGAACTTGTTCATTTTGAAGAAATTTACTGAAACGCATATTGTTTACTTGCTGATGTTTGCCTCTACGCAGGCAAGCTGTTTGTCGTGGGTGGCTTCGACGGCTCCCACGCGCTCCGCTGCGTCGAGGTGTACGATCCTGCCCGCAACGACTGGCGGATGCTCGGCAGCATGATCTCCTCCCGCAGCAACGCCGGCGTGGCCATGCTGGGCGAAACCATCTACGTCGTGGGCGGCTTCGACGGAAACGAGTTCCTCAGTACGGTGGAGGTGTACAACCCCGAAACGGATGAGTGGAACGACTGCACCAAAGCCCCATCTCCCCTCTCTGAGTGAAGGGAGAGGGGATGGGGAGGGAAGAACGGGGGAAACAGGGTTCTGGAGTTTCACAGTGCTTCACTCATTTCCAAACTAACAGGCTTAGTGACGTAATCGTGTTTCGTGATGTTTTCGTGTATGAACAGGTATACGTGGGTGGGGATGTTGAGGTGAGGAGTCTTCAGTGAAGACTGGCTTAATCTTAGCAGGTCGGGGAGGGGGGAGGCAATTTACTGAGAATCCTTTTGTGTTTTAAAGTGTCAGGCATTTGCTGCCCAAAGCAACGTTGACGCCTTCTTTTGTTTTTGCATATTGCATAGATTTTGGTTTTGTCTTGTATATATTTTGTTTCTTCCTCAAATTTTTTTTTGTCGTATGCCAACATTTACTACACTTAGTGCTTTTCATTTCTTTAAGCTAGTTGCATGGAGGGTTTTTAGATGAGTTTTTACTATTTGACCACCTGGAAAGGTGCCAGTTTGAAGTGATAATAATTTGAGTTCAGAAAATGTATAAAGTTTATTTAAGAAAATTTCTGTTGTGGAAATGTCTTTCTTTTTTCCCAAAATATTTAAAGGTCAGTGGTTTGAAGCCTTACTCAGTGTGAGTTGCTAAACACCCGTCAAAGCTTTCTGTCATTTTAAATAAACCGGATTGTTTTTTGACTCTTAAAATGATGGCCTTTTTTATATTTTTATACACTGCTGATTTACCAGTAACATAGATGTAGTAGCAGAGAGCTTACATGAATCTAACCAGTGCCAGATTTAGTTGACCTTTTTTGTGCACATGCCAGAAATGCACAACCATGCTTCTGCTAACAATTTTTTTTAATGTGATTTTTAACTAGTTGATATACGTAGAGCTGCAATTTACTGAGAATCCTTTTGTGTTTTAAAGTGTCAGGCATTGGCAGATTTTTCTGGAAGGAATGTTGGTGCAAGAAATTTCACATTTGTAACATTTCTTAATTAATAAATCGTATAAGTCTAATTTTTGTTTTCAGTCTGCTTTGTTCTTGTTGGTAAATAACTGATCCATTTCTTTAAAAAAAAAAAAAGCTTATAGTTGAATCTCTGATAAAAATCCTCCTGAGATCTCAACAGTGTTGATCCAGTCAAACATACTGATTGGAAAATGCAAGGGAGTGTGTAGTATTTTGTGAAATGGATTCTGACTATCCTGCAGACTAGAACCTTTTTCATTCCGTAATTTGAATTCTGAACAGAAATATTGCATGTGGGGTTCCTCAAGGCTGTATTCCTGGGCCACTTTTATTCAGTCATTTACACTATCAGCATAGCTCAGACATGGAATAATACACTCTTACAACGTGGTGGTTAGATTATTGTAAAGCTGTTCTAAAAACAATTGTGTAAAATGCTGCTTCTACAGTCCTGATCAACACCAGGCAGTTGCATCATATCAAAGCCTCTCAGCTCTGATACAAACTCTAAGCAGAAAATGTTGCCTCTTATTGATAACTGGAAACATTTATATTAATCATAAATTCATAGTTAACTTAGTAGATAAAATGTATGCAAAGTTATTGAAGCTTGACATAAAATGTGTAGAAAATCACTTTTCTAAAGTATAAAACAACTTTTAATTAGTCTTTGAATCTTTAATAAATTATCAGTAGCTGATTTTGTGAGTCCAGTTTTAGCTCTCACTGCATCGTCCTCCAATTACTGTGTCATGGCCTCTGCCTTTTAACCTTTAACTATTTATATTCTCCCCATGGACTACCATAGTAAACCAGGTTATATTCAGTCCCACTAAGTGTCTTACCAAGGAGATTAGACTCAAGTATTTGAATGGAAAAAAAAGCAGGAAGGCACAACCAGAGTGGCTGTGGGTTGTGAAACAGGGCTGGATGAGTAGGCTCCTTTTTTATGACCCCAGACATCTGAGGCTGCCTGCCAGAACCAGTTAAATCCCTCCCTCTGTGCTCATTCACAAGTCGATGTCAGATAATCTGCTGATCCACCTGACGGCTGCAAATGTGTCATGTGCAGGAGAAAGTAGGGACGGAATCCTGAATCCGGTCATCGTTACTGTCTGACCATTAAAACACGTTTTTTTTCAAAAAATACTTTAATTCAATTAGCATATTAAGAAAGTTTTTGCATAAGTTTTATGAAACATTCGATTCATTAGTCTGTCTTTCAAATTCGAAGCACTCGAAACGAAACGTGAGTACACATTTGTGGCTAAGCTAACCAGATAACAGATTCACAAATGATTTACAATAGATTTGAAACGACAGATAAAGCTGTCTAGGAAATGATGTCAAACTCTGTAGAAGATTAACATTACCATTTAAAACTCCTCGTGTTTACATGTTGTGGGTCTGTTATTGTTTAATCATATTCCTGATGACATAAACATTTAAATACAACCAGTAATAAAAGTTAATGGAGTTGTTCAAGTCAATTTCTAGAATGGATTTTCCAGGTTTTTTCCTTCCACTAACCTTTCAAACAATATCTTTAAATATAGCACTCTGTGGCCCGCTAAAATCTCAAGCAATGAATTTTTGCGGCTTGCCTTCCTTGTGTAGCGTGACGACTGACTATCAAGTCAGCAGTCATAACTTTACATAAGATGATTAAAATTGAATAGCTTTCTTTGGTCTTATTTTTCTGAGAAGCTGAGTTTTTCTCCAGAAAAATGTTTAACCTGAACTATGTCTGTTCATTGTCCAACTGTGCTGAGATTTTACGAAGACCCAAAGTTCTGATCATTATTGGCTCTCCTTACCAGTGACCCTAAACCCCGCTCTACCTTTGCCTTTGTCTGGATGACGTCTCCTCGTGTAGCAACTCTTCACTGTAACAGCCGGTGTAATCTCAGCCTGTCTGCTGCCGTCACCTGGGTTTAATCCATTTAATCATTCCACACGCATGCAGCCGCATGAGGCTGTGCACAGAGAATCACACGTTACATGAACTGTAACAGACAGAAAAGCTTCAACTTGAGCAAAGAAATCAGGCAAAGTGATTTTAGGAGTGTAAGATTTAATTTACAAGAGCAAAAGACTCGTACACACATGTTTTTTTAAATTTGGCACAAAGAATTTATAAAACTTGCAAATCTACAACATAAACTTATTCAGCTATCTCTACCATCTGTAAGGCAAAAATCACATCAGTAATTTCAAGCTTTAAAATGACAAACCAGATGTTAGTTTTGGGCTTCTCAGCATTTTAAACCAGCAGACCCTTAATGGAAGTAGTATGAAACGGAAAAAGTGTTTTAAAGCACCAGCTTTGCAGGGTCCGCAGCGGCGTTAATGCCTATCTCTAATAACTGAGATAGGCATAGGCAAGTCGCCAGTCCATCATGGGGGTGGAAGATATGCAGCGCTTTGCAAAAGCATTAATAGCCCTTAAGCCACAAGCGTCAGGAAATGTTATTTATTATTTGTGGTATGTAAATGTTAAATGGTTACAACTGTTCAATTCATCATCAAAAATGGCAAAGCAGCCAAGAGGCCCTTGGTGATTCTGGAGGAGCTGGAGAAATCTAAAGCTCAGGTGGGAAAATGTGTCAACGGGACGACTACTGGCCATACATGCCAAGAATTTGACCTTTATGGAAGACTGACGGCAGGAGAGCAATAAGGCTCCCGTCATAAAGAAGGCACTTTGATCAGCTGAACCTGGAACATTAAAAAAACACTGATATGTTAAAGGTCCAACATTCAGGAGATTATTCAAAGCTTTTTCTATTGCTTTGGAAGAAACAAAGCAACAACTGCATAGAATGAGTTTTGTGTCAGTGCAGTTTGATTTTAAATAAGGCCCAACAATAAATACAATAAAAAAAATTACAAGTAAGCGACAACACTAGTAAAACAAAAACAAAAGCTTCACAGCGTGGCTTCATCACACATTCATTTGGTTCAAGAATACCAGTAAATATCTACCTGAGAGGTAAAATTTGACATTTTCGCTAAAACATAAAAGAAATATTGTGATTACATACTAGAAAAATACACACAGATACAAACATAACATGCAAATGTTCTTTCATTCTCTAGTTTGAATGACAGAACACTTGCATTTTGAACTGACCACAAACTGGAGAACAACTTCACATATTACAGAATTAAAAACAAAAAAACAAAATAAACTTCAACAAACATCTTTAGACAAGAAAACAAAACAGTTTCTGTTACAGTGAAGGTGTTTATAGATTAAAAGTGTTGAAAAATGGTAAAAAAAAAAACTGAAATGCCGTCAACTAAAAGGTTTTAATCGAAGGAACAGGTTAGGTTTTTACAGGCAGCCGGTGGTTGATGTTAATGGGACCCTGAGTTTCATCAGCACGGTGCGGTGAAGGCAAAGTTCTGCCCTGTGGTCTGAACACAACCATCCAAGGCCTTTTTTAGCTCCAATAACTGGTTTCCTCCAACTCCAAGTTTCTCCCTGGGAACAGACGAGACGTTAGGCTGATAGGAAACAAAGAAATGGACGAAGTCTGGAGCAAACAGAGGAAGAAAGCTCTGATCTGATGTTTACATGCAGTTTTCTGAAAACCCCACATGACCTGGGTCTTACAGAGAATTACTATTTGCTTCCATTTTGTTGTTTTGTTTACAATCTAGTCCTTATTATAACCTGACCACTGCATTTTTCCCCCTCAGCAAAAACAAAACAAAACAAAAAAAAACATCTCACGATGTTCCAGCTAGCCCTCTGTTTTGATTCCTCATGCCAAGGCTTGAATGTTTCGCTCACAATTAGATTTTATTTACCCACATGTTGCTTTATGGCAACAGCTTCCAAAAGCGAGTTGGAGCGCATGAAATTAACTGCAGATATTTTCCACCACATGGTTGGAAAATATCGGAGGGGTAAACCGCATTATGCCCATGAAGTCAATCCTGAGGTTTTTCTCTAATTTGAATGTAAGAACATTTACATTAAATTGGACAACCTTGTTTAATTCTAACTAAATTGGTTGAATAGATACGTGAACAGAAACGGGGGTAATTCCTTTCTTTTCAAAGTTATGGATGAACAGATTTTATAACATAGATGACCAGATGGTATAGTTCATATGTTTATTTATATAGATGGTTACGGCTCTTCCTCCAGACTCTGGGAAGTCAATTTCCAAATTAAATGCAAAATACTTACTTTTATCTAAGTTTTTTTTTTTTTTAACCATTCCTCTTCAGGCTTTGGTGATTCGCTGTTACTTTTGCACTTTTTAAGCCACAATTTCTCCTTTCACTTAATTTTCCCTTAATGAGATTGGATACAGCACTTTTTTTTTTAATCAAAATGTTCAGCAATGACCTTTTCTGGCTTACCCTTCTTTTAGGGTTGTCTGCAAAACAACTGAGTAATCACCAGTCCAGTGCTGATTGTTCTGTTTCAAAAGGCCACACTCATCAAATCACCAGAAGTAAATGCCTCAAATGCTCCTTGTGTAACATGATGAGTTTCACCTTTTTAAATTAAATAAGTTCATTAATTAACTTTTTGGAATTATTCTGATTTACTGAGTTTGATTAACCACAGCAGTAGTAATAAGTCACATATCTCTGATTCAGGGCAGTGAAAGAACAGGTACATGATCTGCAGCTTCCAGTGGCAGCTATTTATCCACATTTCCACCAAACTGAACTCCGTTTTTTTTTTTTTCCTAAAACACCACCACAGGCGGCTTCAAATTCCCAGGAAAGAACACAGAACACTACAGTCGTGACAACGGCTGCTTAGCAGCGAGACACTGAGGGAGCTTGTTGCTTGTTTGTCTCCTCCTCTGCTTTATTTCCATCAGAACATTGCGTAACTGCAGACAGGATGGAGGGAGGAAGGGAGGGAGCGCAGGAAGAACTTTCTGGCTTTTGCCCCTCGCTGTTTTCACCCAGCATTCATCCGTCTGCCCACTCCCCCCTTCTTTAAGCAGGGGTACAGCTGCTTGTTTGCTCAACCTGTGATGTCAGGTTTACTCCTGTTACGTTTCGGCAGCACTCAGGATGTACTGGTCTGCACCTGCTCAACTGGTTCACCTGTTCAGTTCCTGTCACTGCATGCACATCGACACCTTCCGATTCAAAATTATAAGTTCCTAGACATGTTTCAACGACAGCAATATGACTTTGCACCAAGGTCACTGAACCAGATGAATAAAGGGTGGGTACTTTGCTTTTTTAGGGAGTTAGACACCAGAGAACAGCTGCTCTGCAGGTCAGAAATACACATTATTAATGATGACAGGACACAACCAGCAAATCTGAACATGTGATTCTTTCCCAGTTTACATTATGCTGAAAAAAAAAAAAAAAAACTTGTAGAGATTAACTACTTCTTTTCTTTCATGCAAACAACTTCACAGATGTCTGGTGTCGTTCATTTAAATTAAATAATAAACAAACTACATCATTTGCATGTAAAACTGTGGAAAGCAGTGAAATAATTGCCTCTGAATGCAGGATTGCATTAGAAGAGGACAGGACAAAAAGACCAAGCTGCCTGTTCAAATGAAGCCATTTCTCTTTGCTGCATTATTAAATACACTGAACACAAAATTAAGCAATGTGCAGCCTAAGGCTTCCTCCTGCCGAACAACGCTCGGCTCCCTGTGGGTTTGCTAAATTAAGCGGAGCAGAGGAGCGCTTTCATAGTCATTCTTTCAGAAACTGTTAAACTCTTCCGTTAAATATCAGCTGAAGACGATGCCAGCGGAGGAGAGGACTGCATATGACAAACATGACTTACATAAAAAGCTGAGCGAGTGCGTTCCAAAAGTATTCATGCTCCATGAACTTTTCGAATCATTTTGACCCATTTTGACCCACTGATATTGGGGATTTTTTAAAATAAAGTCAAACAAATTAGTGGATAACTATGCAATGGAAGGAAAATTATACACAAGTTGTATGTTTTATTTATTTATTTATTTATTTATTTATTTATTTATTTATTTATTTTTTCACAACTACTGGGGAGTTTTTTTTTTTGCCAATTATTACAGTTCAAGTTACGTCAGACTGGATTGGACTTTGATTAGGCCATTTTAATGCATAAATATTCTTTGAAATAAATTGATTTAATGTTGTCCTAGTTGCAGACTGAGCGTGAACCTCCATCTTTTGCAGGATCTTGGGTTTTTACCAGCATAGCCCTGCATTTAGCTTCATCTTCCAATCGACGCCCAAATTCCCCTAAGAAAGCATTACCACAGCAAGATGCTGCCACCACCAAGCACACAGTGACTGCATTTAATTATAGTTTCAAATTTATTGTTATTTATTCTTATGGTCACTGAACAAACAGTGAAGAAACAAGTAAAACTATCAATCATGACGACAGAGGCAGCTTTGGGGGTTTTAAACAATTAGAATTTATCGTGACCACGATAAATCTAAATTCTTATCATGATAAGAAAATCATCACGATAAATGATAAACGATACGATGGATTTCATTTAGGGATACCAGATTAAATGAGGCAAAATACAATGCTACACTTTTTTTGTAAAAATCCTGCCATTTTGTAATTATGCACTACTTTGTGCTGTTGAATTACATAAAATCCCAATAATATACACAGACATTTGTGTGCAACGTGACAAAATGTGAAGAAAACAAAGCTTCGGCGGCTATGAGTACCGTTACAAGGCACTTTTATTCTGCAGGGAATGAGAAGAAGCTCAAACACATTCAAACAGGCATTCACACCACAAGGAACTTGAGAGATGAGTGCAGCTTGGAAAATGAGTCACTGGGTTTATCAGAAGTGTTACTCAACAGCTAAGCTGTGCCGCATTAAAAGCCATTAGCCTTCCGCACTGATGAAGCATCCACATGTGAAGAAATCGACAGATAAGCAAAAGTGTCTGGAAAACAGTCACTTTAAAAAGAGGAAAATCCTTTCCACAGAACGTTAGCAGGGAAAAACAATCACTGGAGACATTGTAATGCAGGGTTTCCCTGCTAACGTCATATGTATTTTTAAATATTTCCTGCATGATAGTGATCTTTTAGTAGAGGGTATGAGACATCAGAAAGACGAGCAGACGAAAACTGCTTTTTCTTCCCCTCTCCACTAAGGAAAAACACAGTTAAAGCAACGTGTTCATTTTGTAGACATTCGGCAAACACACAAATCAAAACAAGTATTTCCAGACACACAAAAGGTTTCCAAATGCTTTCAGATTCTGCTTCTTGAGACAAAATAGACTTTATTCTGTATGAATAACTCCTGCTAATTAAAAAGTCTTCTCCAAAAAGTTAAACCAAAGACTTCACTTGATTATCAATGAATAATAATAATGAATTTTCAACGTGACGCAGTTGAATCTTATCAGCCGATGCCCACTTGAACCTCCTGTTCAGTGGCTGGAAAGCCTCAATTGGGCATTATATAACTCCTGACATCATACGGCCCTCTGAGCACACAGATCAAATATTTAACGGCGGCGGTAATGTACACACTAAGTACAGGCCCGGATCGCTTCACAGGGAATGTTGCAGATAAAAAATTTACCATCACAACACAGCCAGCTTAACGTGTCCGTCAGCGGTGACCTGCTGTAACAGGAGCGGGGATAACGTGACTGAGAAGTGCTGAAAAGCTGCCTGTCGAGGTGACATAGCAGGTTGTTTCCTCATCATCATGAGCAAACAAAACCAGTCGCTACAGGAAGCGCTTCATGACTAATGATGTATCGGCATTGATGACATAACAGTCAATCTTTGCACCAAACCTATGTGATGTAATGGTAATGAAAACTGAAAACGTGTTGACATATCACAGATTTCTGTAGCCTAATTTGCTCAATGTAAAAAGCAGAATACGTACAGATGGGATATTATTCCAAAGCTCTAATGCTATTTGACTATCCCATTTGCTGGACAAATAGGGGATTATTCTGCTTCACCATAACAAAGTAAATGTCACGTAGAGTCAGTGTTTTACATGCTGTGGTTACAAAACCATCAGCACATGTTTCTGGCTGTCAGGTGGTTGCAATAGTAGGTGACGCATAATAACAAATAATCAGTTTAGGAGTGAGACCTGTGGCTTGTTTCTATGGCAGCAGCTCGGTTTTACCTGCAGGCATAAACATTGCAATTCAGCGACAGGCAGGTGAATCAGTTTGTCTAGGAGGGTAGGAGCTTTCTGCTTTACTGAGGCTGTGCATATTTGTTATCTCTGCACTTATCGGTATTATTTATTCCTTGTAAGGTTCATTTGTTTGTCCTAATAGAAAGTTAAGGAGTTACATGCCATGATCTTAGAGTTACTTATTCCTATAACACATTTACCACTAAACACGTAATATTTAACAGATCATGTGAACGATGAACACTTCAGTTTTTGAGCAAATTTAGCTATTTCATGACCAAGCCTTTCAGACTTTCCACTTAAATCTGCTTAGATTTGAATTTTTTATCTGAAGGCTTGTCAGTGTAACTTACAAGTGAGAGGTCATTTCACCAAGCATGTTTTCTCTATTGCATCAGCTTCTAAAACTGTGAATGCAGTACCTTGAAAGAAGTGTAAACCTTTCACAGTATTTGGACAGAAGAAAATGAAGGAATCATAAAGGCAAAATAGGCTTCTGAGAAAAACCTTTCACAACTTTTTGTGCACTGGAAAAGGAGAGGCCTGACATTCCTTATTGATTGTAGTGTAGCTTTGTGTCTTTATAGCCATTTTTTTCTGTTTAATTTATGTTCTTAATGTTGTAAAGTGTCCTTGGGTGTCTTGAAAGGCACTGACAAATAAAATGCAGTCAGTGCAGGTTGTGCATTTTAAAATGCACCACAGATAAAACTGCAAAGAGCCTTAAAATAAAAACTCTGGGATTTCCAAACCCTTTCTTTTCCATCGCTACTGCAACTTATAATACATGGATAGTTTTATATATATTGATTTTTTTTTGCTGTATGCCATTTGGTGGAACATAAATTTTTAGCGTAGATCCAATGTTTTATAGATGACACTGCAGGAGATTCCCCAATTGTTTAAAGGCGTACCAGTTTTAGTGTATATGATCTTCAAACTTAAGTAATATTTGCTGAATGTCATTATTTTGACATTCAGGAAATATGAATACTTTTAGTAATACTGGCTGACATAGATCTGTACAATTTTATAAGGATTTTATGTCAAACAGCAAGAAAAAAAAAAGATTGTGTCTTTTGATACATTGTATGTAAATATCTGACCAAACTTTGTTAAACTGATTATTTTTATTAAAGCTACCGGGTTTATAAGCAGGTATAACATCTGCTTATTTCTGCTCTTTGTAAAAGAAGAGCAGAAAGAAACTCCCATCTTGATACACAACCAACACAGTGGTGCTGTGAGAGGAGTAGGTAAACCCTTGTGATAATGTCAAGTATAGAGTTGCTGCAAACACCAGTCTATTGTCATGGAAATGAAAAGTCCCAATGCATCCCTTCAGAGAAAAGTGTTAATAATAAATGTCCCAATTGTCCAGAAATGTTGGCATGGACACGGTCTTTGTGAGACCTGCTGGGGATGTCAACAAGGAGGGTTAATGTAGCGAAGGAGGAAGCACGTAGCTGCCCGGGCAAGCAGCAACAAAGATTGCAAGATTTCAGAGAACTGGTTTGATTGAGTATTCAGTTTGGAAGAAACAGAAAAAAAAAAAAAAACGTCAGAGAAAAAAAAGGTCCTGAAAAATCAACAATTCATCAGTAATGTGTATTTTTTCCATCATTATGTCTGTGTTTGTAGCGCACCTACCTGTAGTCTGGTTGGGAGAAACAATCCAGAAGGTCTTTAGCTGTTAATCTGGTTTCGTCACTGACAAGCTGAAACAGAACAGACACAAACTAATCTAAATAAATGAACATGATGAGCCCAACATGGCATGAGACCACAGGGAGCAAAAAAGATTGTGTGAATTGATTTAAAGCATTCAGAGGCCAGTTTTATATCCACAACTCTGATGCTGTACAAACCTTATTGGAGTAAATAATGCTGAGCAGTGTCTGGACTTCCTCTAAACCCGGAGTCGAAGACAAGACCCTACGAGACAAAAGAGATCTCAGAGGTGGCCTCACCTATAGACGATGCTCTAAAAGCTTCTTTAAGTATGTTAAATCATTCAATCTTAGGGCTAAATAAGGGATGCAACAATAACTGTTCTTAAAGAAATCTGATTAAACCAGGGAAGTAAGAGTAAATTAAAATGGTAATTTGTGCACTCTAGTTCTAAAAGATCTACAAATAGCTGGTAGAAGGAGGAAAAATGAGCACGAGGGAGACATGCCCAAACACGTGAAAACTAGACTGGCCGTCTCCTAGGCAATGCTGTCCCCATACACATGAACATGTGCACAATGATATGCAGAAAGAAAAGATAAACAGAAAGTACACACAGAAAACCAAGATTTTAAAAGGAAGCATGGCAATAAAAAGGTTCATTTACATTCAGTTCGAAAAAGTAGGGAGGATTTAATAATAGGTGTGTAGAGGTAACAGCTACTCAGAATTGGGCGTGTAGAGGAGCAAAGTTCCTATCACTTTTTAACAAATTAAACCTAAACAAAATGCCCATTTACATTAGAAACCCTGCAGAAATACTAATGCAAAACTGAGCAATGTTGCTATGAGTAACTGAGTTTTAGTTTATCCATACAGGCTCAGAGGTGCAGAAAAAAACAGAAAAAAAAAGCTGCCCGTGGTACAAATGTTGTTGCTGCCAGGAATTCCCAGAAGCTGCCAGAATTCTCCTCCCCTCCCCTAGTGAAGCATGATTTCCAAAACGACGGAAATGAGTGGCAGCAGGAGCGTTTCACCAGACTGAGGTTGAAATCTCACAGAGATCCAACAAAATAAGCAAAGATTTTGCTGGCTAAAAGCTGCATGTGCAACTAAATATGCAACATTTGTGATGTTCTGAAGGTGACATAATCCCCATCACAAAAGGCCTTTGTTAAGCAAGTCCTATCACATGTCGAAATGTAAAATGGTGAAATCTCACCATCACAGAACGTTTGTAATAAAGCACCACAACACGAACTACATGTGGTTCTAACTGAACCAACAGACAGAAGTAAATATTTGCAGATAAGAAAACATAAATATATTTTTAGCATTATATAATAGAAAAAAGACAATGTGATTCATCCATCCCAAACAGTTAAAGTAAACCATATTTTCCTAGATAAGGAGAGTAAAAAGTAATGCTTTTGTTGTTTCCAGAGGGGTAACAACTTACCTGACTGCTTCCTTCCGACACCTGTTTGCTTGATTCTCATTTACCTTCACTGCTCCATCTGGGCTTTCTCCCACTGAGCTTGATTTCGCCGATTGAATTTCAACAGGGCCAATCAGTGAACAGAAGGATGTGATTTACTGCATTGATCAATAATTGTAATCTGTCCATGTTTGTGGCTTAACAACAGCGTCAGAGGAAGTGGACAAGTAAAGTCACGCTTCCAAATAGTAAGCAATTAAAATCGGAGCAAGAGGAATGTTTAAGACATTTTATTTCTGACAAAGACAATATTCTGCTCTGCACTTGTCTCTTCAGACTGCGTGATGGTTGTTTAAAGTGCACACAGTTTACGGTAAGTTAAGAGCGTAGCTACCTACGCAATCTAGCTGGTGTGTTTCATACATAATGGCCAAGTGTTAGCAATTGGATAAAATCAGATCCAATCATTTCAAACTTCAACAGTCAACACCTCCAGCAAGAAAATGTTTTTCAATAGCAGAGGGTCCAGAGTAGATCTCATTTGGGACGCCAGCTCTGCCTGTTTGCTTGCAAGATCTTCAGATGTGTTTGAGTGTGAGACAAAAGGAGAAGTGGGTTTTAGACAGGCATGACTTTAAAAAAGGAAAACTTACATAAGCAGCTAAAAAGTTTATAAAGAAAAGGCAAAGCTGCCCTACATTTTTCTGAGCAGACAGAAAGAGTAGGATAAATTATTAATATTATGGGATTAACAAAGCTTCTGGCTCACTGCTTTCTTCAAGCAGAAAGGATGGTCCAAGATGCGCCATGACTAGATACTCAAAGTTGAGCTGTCTAAAATATTTCAGCTTCCACTTGTTTTATTATTTACATGTGCCTCACATACCACAGAATGCTAAAATGTCCACAGGGCGACAAAACAAGGAGTTGTTGCTGTTTTTCAAGATGTTCTTAAATTTTCGACAGAAGTTATGCAAGTCAGCTCCGAGGAATTGTAAAACAATGTGAAACAGGTTGATAAGAGCAAACCTGTGCTGCACGCAAAAACCTGTCTTGAAACAGGAAAAAAAACAACTGACCCCAACTCACCCATCCCAACTTGAAAAACAAGTTAGCACAGTGGGATAAGGACAAGAATGGAAATTAGTTAGTCAAAAGTTCAAGCTCACTGTTGAACGATCAATACTAAGTTCCTTGCAATAGTAGTCATACCTCTTGAAACTTTGCTTCACACATTTTTACATGTTACGTGTATCATAATATATTTCATTAGAATTTTGCATGACAGACCAAACAAAGCAGCACACTTCTGAGATGAAAGGAGGCAACATTTTCTGCACATTGTTCTTTAAAAAATGGTTCTAAATCAGTCATGAACATGAATTTTCAGAGTTGCAGAACTTCACTCCTGTCTAGCCTCTAACACAGTGTTTCTCAACCCTGGTCCTCACCGCCCCCCTGTCCTGCATGTTTTAGGTATTTCCCTTCTGCCACACACCTGACTTGTATCTCTGGGTGATTAACAGGCTTCTGCAGCACTTGATGGTCATGCAATCATTCAAATCAGCTGTTCTGGAATAGAGGCAGATCTAAAACATGCAGAGCAGGGGGGGGGGGCGCGCTGAGGATCAGAGTTGAGAAACATTGATCTAACAAGTTTTCTTACATTGTTGTCTGCATTTAGTTCTATCAACCACCAACTGCAACCAACATTCATGTCTCGGCTGAAGAGAAACACAGCTTGATGCCGTCAACACCATTTTCTCCAAACAAAATGGTGGCATGTTCATCAACCTCAACATGCCACAGACATGTTAATCACTTTAACATGTTTTGCTATGTAGTTTTTCACTATTCATAACATTTTGCATGTAGACCAGAAGGTGAAGTTGGTTTCTTCTCAGCAAAACATTTTCTTCAGCATGCATGGCTTGTTTCAAACAACAAATAGGAATTTTTATGTCTTTCTTTCCATGATAAGTTTTACTCTCGTCATTCAGATCAAATTTGTGGAGTACATGACAATGATTGTTAAATAATGAAGGTTTAGGTGGATTGCCATGTGTTGGTAGGTAGACCAACACCTTATAGCTTGTGGCTTTTGTAAGGGTCATTGCAAAACAGCAGATAGTTTATGTTTAAATAAAAAAGTACCATACAGAAAATAAATTAAATGAACCAAACCCACAAAGTGACCAATTAGCATTCAGGGGATGGTGCATGCTGACCAATTGAACCAAATTATCACCAAATTCGACCACTTCAAATATAAAACGCGACAAATACCTTACTAATCTAAAAGTAGTTTATTTAAAGAGAATGCTAAAGTGTTGGTCTACCAATAAAGGTGTTTCTTAGCACTTCAAGTGTTGCTGGAGTCTTCACCTTAGCTGATCTTTGACCCTTATGAAATGGTGAGGTTGTCCCAGAAATGTTTTGCATTCCTAGGTTTGCAGTTGTGCCAAACTCTTCTCATTTTCAGATGATGGACTGAACAGTTGAGAGATGTAACCTTATCAGATTCGAAAGCAAAACTGATGGCAATTTTGCTTTCTTTAGGGGTATCGGATGAAATGGGGGCTGATTGCCACAGTGATTTTTACATGTAAAATGAACCATTTCAAAATAATCTATCCTTATTCATTCCCTTGTGGACTACTTTGTAATGATCTATCAAACAGAATCCCAATAAAACACATTAAAGTTTGTTTATGACAAAACGCAAAAAGGTTCAGATCCATTTGCAAAGCAACAAATCTCCTCAAACAAACATTTTTGTCAATAAGTGTGAGATGATTTATTTCAACATTACATTTTGGTGCAGTGTGATTATCATCCAAGCAGAAACAGTGAAAAGGTTTTTCAGTTTCTAATTTCTTTATCAGCAGCACCAAAGTGCATCAATGGTCACTGCTGCGTCATGGGAACAGAGTTAAGGAAAAGTGACAAGGTCAAGAGGATTACACTTCTTGACCAACACTACATGCCAACCAAGTCTTACAGGTCCTACACGCATATAAGTAGGACACAGGAAGGAGAAATCTGGCTTACACAGGGAGAAGGCAGTTTAAAAGGGGTTCTTAGAAGGACTGGCAGCACAGACAGAAGGGTCTGCGAGCGAGCGAAAAGGCTCACGCTTGTTCTGAAAGAGGGCTTAGTGAAAGTAGACTTGTGGGGATGATGGGAAAATGACAGATGAGCGTTAACGAGAAACATTCAAATGTAGCACGTTTTAAGATATTTATCTCTTAAAAGAAGAAATGGCTTCAATTCAAGTGAACTAATTAAACAAAACAAACTGAAGGTAGAAAGTGAGATGTCCAAAGGTTACATTTAGTGAGACAGCTGCAGTAAGTCGGCTTACATACCTGCCAAACGCCTGCAGCAGCTGTGAAACCATCGAGGACAGTCTGTGCAAACAGGCCAAAGCGTCCTGCGGCGGCGGAGGACGTCCCATCGGTGTAGCAGCCTGCATGGTGAGAGGGTCAAAGCTGAGCGCTTTGAACACTTCCAAACTGAAACGTGACAGAAACAAATGACCTTTTAGGTCAATGGAATGGAAAAAAAAACAAAGCACATATCAAAATAAACCAGGATGTTGTTCTGTGGATGAAAATTGCTTAGGTGTTGGGATTAACTCCTTCACCTTTAATGCCTCAATCATGACTTTAGGTCTTAAACCTTAAGGAAATGTAATCACTTTAACATGTTTTGTTCAATTTAACTGACAAAATCATAGAAGACAGTTACTTATCTTTTTAACAATTACATCATACTGTGGATTTGACATACAAATGTAAGTTCACATGCGTTCATCATGGACATGAATCTCATCATTTTTGTTTTTTCCATTATGAATTTCAACGATTCACCTACAAATGGTCACACAAACTATAAAATCATGTGCATAGTTTATCCTGTTTTTCCGTGTTGCTCTATGGTGGACTGATGACAATCCCAATAACAATAGGAGACAAGACTACATCAATAAACGATAATACCCAGTAGATGGATGTCCACAAGATTCTGGCTATTTTTTGATTAGATATTTGAGAACTCTTCTTGAAATAAATGGCAGAGCTCATTTTAAGTTGTTTGTTTCTGGCATGTTTGCTGCCTTTTATTCTTGCCCATAGATTTTCCACATGGCTGTGGCTCTTCCATCAGCTTAATGTTAACCTGATTGCATTTAGGATGATTGTGCAACACCCAACGATTTCTAAGCTTCAACCATCTAGTGGTTGAATTGAGGTGAGATTGAGTTATTTGGAGATAGTCCTTCATCTTCATTGCACCACCCATGTTGTGCAATGCATTAGTACCACTGGCAGCTAAGCAAAACCTCAAAATGATCCCATGCTTGACAGCTAGTGCAGGGTTCAAGGGGTTCAGAATCCTATCTTGACTTCTCAAAATGTTCTTATTCAAATTTTTAGGCTGAAATTTTAATTCCAAAGAAACCTTCATGATGTACAACTGAAAGCCTCGAATCATTTACATTCGCAGTAATGATGAGTGTGTGTAAGCTGTTCAATCTTTTAGCTCACCTAGTTTGGTACACGTGAGACCAGATATTCTCGAACACAGCCCACACTTCCTGTGGAGGGATGTGAGGTGATCCCGGCTGCTTATCGACAGACTCGTCATCATTCATGACAACATCACCAGCAGACAGTTCCTGCTCCCCAGACGTGTCGTGCTACAGTGAGAGAAAGGTTTAGTTAGCCTCAAGATATTATGTATTGAGTTAGAAGTTGAGATTTAGCATAACGGCACTCAATTTTGGCTTTTATGAAGCCTTAAAGAGATTAAATGAGGTATTCTATGATTCCACATATGGCAATACTTCATCCAGACAGCTCTATATAGAAGCTGGCTTTTCCAATTAAATGTGGAAGCTTGATCTTCAGCTACATTTAGATTTCAATTTTGTTTAAGCTTACCTGTGATTGTACCTTATTTATAATGTCTTCGATCACAGTGATGGCACCAGGGACACGTTCTGAACTTTTCCTAAATGCTTTCACTAACTCCTTAGTTTTTTGTAGAAACCATAAAGTTGATATGGTTTCACCTGAGGGTACACAGAAAAGCAAACAGTGCTGGTTATAAAATGACTGTTACACAGCAAATGCAAAAAATGACCACATATTATTATTTTTTATTAAACAACTAGATACTAGAATTTGTATGGTTCTTTAGTTCACAAAAGATTATGTATAGATACTTTATGTATCTGGTAGAGAATATTTACATCACTGAATTATAATTTAAATAGGAATTGTGTACTTCCCATTTACCACAGCCTAATTTAAATAATGTTTTAGTCTCAGCCAGGTGTTATAAATGAAAAAAAAATTATAACATGAAAAAAATGCTGTAAAAAGCAAATATGACAAAAAAAAAGTGGAGATGAGGAGGTAATTAATAACTGTACAATTAGTTAGAGAAATTGTGATATATTTTAAGAAAACCATTGGCCAAAAACTAGAATTGTTTTTCATAGAATCCATATTTAGATCGCAGTTACTCAAAATTACACATGCCTACCACTACAATAAGTTGTGCATGATAAAGTATCAGATGAAGTAAAGTATCTTGATAAATGTACACCGATGAGCCCAAAAAGTGTAGCATGCATTTATAATTCATCCCCTTTTACCGATACCCTTAAATAAAGTGCAAAAACTGTCTTCAGAAGTCACCATATTAATAAATAGAGTTCAATGTACAAAATAATCTCAGTGTAATAACGAGAAAACATTACTGAATACTTAGTTCCATAAAGATTAAGGAATAATACAGTGAGGTGATGGATAAAGCATGTTTTTCCTATAAAGTAAAACCAGAGCCTTTCCTCTGAATTCCAGCTACATTCTGTTACTAACACACTCTGTTGCCTGCAGTACTTTTCCACCACCACATTTGTTCTCACCCTAACTCACAGTTTATCCCTACATCCTCCTCTTTCTCCGCCTCCTCATCCTCACCCTCCTCCTTGCTCTACTCTCAAATTCCTGGCTGAGGGCCAGGCTGTGCGGTACTGAGAAGCCATGTGTGTGAGCCAGGACAACTCTGAGCAAGGTCAAATTTTATATATTTTCCACTCAGATTCTTGAATAAGATGTATTTTTTGTGCCATGGCTGTAGCAGTTACCCTCCACCCCGAAATGGGTTGACATAAAGGCTGAATGACAGATTGACTCATAAAAACACTGTAGGCGTGCAGAGTTAAAAATGCATCCTCAGTGGCATCTTGGACAGAATCGCTGCAGTCGGCTACTCGGCATCTTTCTGACACACATTGGTGTCTCCTGCTTTAGCAGATGACCTAATTCTGGATGTAGTTTTGTGGAACAGTCCAGGACAGACAGCAGCATCCCGCTCCACACTGTAACATTTTAATCTGGGGGATCACTTTGTATTTTTAGCCCAGAGTCACACAATTTCCTTTTCCATTTTACAATTACAGATTGTTACAGCATTAAGTTAATGAAACATATACTTTTTTTTAATAACAGTTCTTAGCTTCTCCTTAGCTTCAGGAGTTTGCGAAGTATGTGCCTAAAGAGATAATGAAGCAAACCGGGTCCATTTAGCAGATTACTGTAAGATTGTCTGTTTATTTCCTCTGTGTTGTTTACATTCTGTGGAAGATTCGAATAATCTCCTAGGAAACTGGCAAATTTGGAGACTGTGATATCGTCAGACCTTCCGATTTCCCAGAAAAAGTGGCTGTTATAAATTAAACAATGCAGCAGCTTAATGGACTAAAAAGATCAACAGCATGGACTTAGCAGAAACATGGCATAGCAAGAAACATGACAGATGAACTTGTTACAGTTCGTGTAGATGTATTTTAAGGCCACACCTGCTTTCTTGTTTGATACAATGGGAAAGTCAAAAGAAAACGGCCAAGATATCAGGAAGAGAATTGTGGAGCTGCACAAGTCCAGCTCATCCTTGGGAACAATTTCCAGATGCTTGAAGGTGCTGAAGGTGCTGCGTACATATGTTCAAACGATTATTCTCAAGATATGATGGGAATGTCCAACCATCGAGTTGTTCAGGAAGGAGATGGGTTCTGTGTCCCAGAGTTGAACACACTTTGATCCAAAATGTGCAAATTGACCCCAGAACAAAAGTAAAAGACCTGGTGAAGATGCTGCCGAAGCTGTTAAGACAGTGAATTGTGTGCTGCTCAACACAGAGGAAGCCACTACTCCAAAAAATATATAAAAAGCCAGATTTGCAGTTTGCAGATGCACACAGGGACAAAGACGTTCATTTTTGGGGGCACATCTCTTGGTCTGATAAAACTAAAGAGGAACTTTTTGGCCATAGTGACCATATTCACATTTTGAGGAAAAACAGGCATGCTTTTACCATCCTAACTGTGAAGAATGGGGGTGGCAGCATCATGTTGTGACAGCATGTGTTTTGCTGCAGGAGGAACTGGTACACTTCATGAAGTAGGCAGGATGTCAAAGCATTGTCCATTTGAGCGTTTCAAATGGACAATGAACCAAAGCATACCGCCAAAGTGAATATAAAGAGGCATACAAAAAACCAAGTAAATCTTTTGGCATGGTCATTACAAAGCCCTGATCTCAGTCCAATGGAGAAGCTTGTGGAAGAAAACCCAAACATTTGACCAAAGTCATACAGTTCTAAAGCTGAGGAAATGTATTTAAATTTGTGATTTTTAATATCATAATAAATAAATCTCTGACATATTAGCAAATATAAATAATTTTGGTAATTTTAACTCACCTAAAACAAGACAAGTTTGGTCTGATCTAACTTCAGACAGTGGAAAAAAAAAGCTGAATATCCAATGTCAGTTAAGGAAAATATGGGCAGAAAACAACAAATGATGTAACAGTTAATCTTTTCCTGCTTCTGCATGACTTCATACCTGAGCTAAAGAAGTTGATAAGGTTTCCAACAGTTTCCAACATCTTCCGAGGGACAAGTTGTCCAAAGACAGCAATCCAGTGCTTTTTAAAACACTGAAGGACATCTTGAAGACTCCAGGGAGGTTTTATATAGACAATCTACAAAATAAAAGAAACACATTGGGACAATAACTAAATTTGTCTAATAAGGTGAAACTGCATGGCTAACATTACTGTCAAATGGAAATCTCGTTAAATTGTGTAAATTGTTCCACTATGTTTGGCAATGCATGCTTCAAGGGTTTTTAAGTCCGTTTAGGAAGGAATCTTGTGCATAACATTTAGATTCAATACAGTTCATTTAATTGGACAAATGAGGGTTTTTTTAAGCACTTTAAGACAAAAAGGTCTCATGAAAAGGTGAAAATCATATCCAGTTACATCCAAACCAATCCTTCTCAATGCAAAGCAATCACAGAGGTTGATATATCTACTGTGTAAGAACCCCAAACACACAGAAAAAGCAATAGCAACGATTCCTTTTAAAACATGTACCTCTTGCCAGAGTTCATCATAAGCCGCCTTCATCTCGGTTTCTAACACTTCAGACAGCACATCTCGCAGACTGTCTTCCAGTTCACACAGATATGCACTGAGGTCCCACTCTGCCTCCTGACAGTGTCCTTTTTTCACTGATGGGAACTTAACAGGTGGACCTATGCCAGCATGTGTGAACACAAAAAGAAAAGATTTATGTACTTTGTACACTATTTACAGACTTTGAACTCAATACATCTTTATAATTTGCATGAACACATTCATACAGGCTCATTAGAAACGCTCTCCTACTTTCTCATTTGTTGTTTGTAGGAATTATGAGCGTCACTAGTGCTGTTTCTATTTGTTGCCTCAGGCTTTGTTAGTTGTAGCTGTCTTTATGGATACATTCAAGGAACAATGTACAATTGAAATAAAACAGCAGAATTATTACGTGTTGGTGAACTTGCCATGTGCACAGTTGGTATGTGCTAATAACTGCCGGTGGATTATGGAAATTGTAAAGTTACTTCCTGGAAAACACAAACGCATGTATTTTTTAGTGGCTCACCTTTTCGTGGGGTGTCTAGGGGAAAACCTGCGCTATCCTGAACGGGAAGTTGAGCACAAGCTGGTGAGCAGCTTGTGCTCAACGCTGGGGATGAGATGTTGTGGCTCAAACGAGACGGAACAGGAGACTGAACGTCAAGAAGGAACTGATGGCCATGCTTCGACCTCCTGACCCCTGCCTCCAAATCAACCTTGCTAAGAGCCGTCACTCCACTCAGGACAGCTTTATTGGACAGGTTTTTATCATTACTAGAGAGGAAAGAAAAGATGCCTTAATTAGATGCCAGTTCAATTTTGCATATAGAAACAGAAACAACAAAGAAATAAGTCACAACAACAAAAGCTTAATAACATTTTTTCCACTGCAAGTGTTGGCAAAAACAAATCCAGGGCTGAACCCAGATTCACTCGCTCAGCACATCTATTCTTTGCAAAAAAACTGTCGGGCTCACTGTTTCTCTCATCCCAACTGGAACTATCTGGCACAGTCACATGCGTGTGCTTTATTAGCTGAGGACAGGCTTTTCACAGCGGCGGTGGCGGCAGCAGCAGCAGCACCATACTGTAGGGGGGGAGGGGTAACTCACGTGCATAAGATGAGGACACACTCTGGATACATATTCTGGTATTGCAGGCAGCACTGCAGCACTCTGTCATCATTATTCTTGGTATTCAGACCATCTGAGGATCAAAAAAAGGAAATGACAACAAGACGACAATGACTCAGAAAACCAGTCTGATCCAAGAGTCTGCTTACTTCACATTGCTATGGTGCTCATATTAAAGTGTAAAAACAATCCTCATGGTAATAAAAGACAAAGGGTGGATGCATTTTTAAACAGTTGCACTAAATAAAAATGTGTTTCAAAAGTACATGTAATTATTGTTCTTCTTTATGGATTGTACATGGAGGCAACCTGCCCTTGAATTTCACTCCTGTCAGCTACAATAATGGGGATCCTTACAATTACTTAAGTGTGAGTGCCACCTAGTGGGCAAAAAATACATAGCAGGCAGGATTTCTGAAAGTTAAATTCATGACCTTCACAAATTATGAAAATGTACAATCTATTTAATCACTTAATGTATATTTAACTCAATTATTAGCATAAGCAATAAATATCATAACATAACATGATTAACATTAATTAATATTTTTCGAAAACAGCAAAAGTTTAGTCAGAGTCATGGTGCAAAAAGCAACGCTTAGATGTACTTTTACACAGTGAATGAACATATCTGGTTTCTCCTGCATTTTACCATAATGACTGAATAGGTAACTAATAAGGAAATGTGAATTTCCTTATTAGGAAATTCACATTTCCTAATAAGGGAATGTGAATTTTAAAGTCTGGATAGACACTTGATTCAAAGCTAGTGAGACAATTAATCAGTAAAATCTGTACTCACTGCTGATCTCAGTGGCCTGCTGCATGGACTGCCCCCACAGGTGGGGGTCCCGCTTCTTCAGAGAGGTGTAAATAAACGAGATGGCCGGAGTTGCAAGGTGGGCCACCGATCCTGACAGACCTTTTCTATTTTTAAGGGAATCCAGCTCTTGTAGAACCACCCAGGGGATCAGGACGATTGGAAATCCCAATGCTAAGAGAGAACAAAGAGCAAGCAGCTATGAATGTATGCATCAATAAAAGTCAACATTTCAATATTATTTATGATTATAACTGATGTATTACAACCATAAATACTAATTACTTTTTGTTTCAACAGCATTGATCTTGTTAAAGCTACCAGTTCTTATATACATAATGAGGGAGGCTGATTTTTATTTTTCTGTTTTAACGAGCCCAAACTAAGGCAACTAGAAATGCACATATTTTAAATTTCAAAGACAGAAGGCAATACCCTTTGACAACAATATCGCTAATAATTATTTTACATCTCAACGGAGAAATTAGAAACATAAAAGATGTGAAATGAACTATAAAAGCAGCAGGTTTAGTCGTGAAACAATATATTTAATACCTTCAAGGCCACAAGATCGGATTTTTTTCACATAATCCAAGTGACTGAGGAGAATGTTGGTGTCCAGAACCAGGATTAGGGTTTTCTGTTTGGGATCCCTGTCTGAAAAGAGAAGCTAAGTCAATTGATGCTCAAGTGAAAACTGAACAAAACACTGGATAAAAACATGCAGCTCTACAGATAGGACTTGCATTGTCTCCAGTTAGGAGGCAAAGAACTACACTGTGAATGAATGGTTTTCATCAAAGTATATTAATGAAATGGCCCAGTCAAAGTCCAGACTGACACAGCATCTCTGTTGAAACTTTAAAGTTACCGTTCTCACACACTCTTCATTCAGTCTGACTGAGTTTGACTGACCCACAACTCATCTCAGGGACACAGATATTGGGATTTCTATTTATAAAATAATTAGAAAATTGATGTACAGTCCATCCGTTTTGTGTTTTAACAGTTAATCTTTGAACCTTAACAACATTTTAAAATGGAAACAATAAAACTCACAATTGGTTTCTGCAGCTCCTTCCTCAGCAGAATCTATGTCCATGCCAGTGAGTTCACCGTAGCTCTGCTTCACATTTACCTCCAGCCTCTTTTCAGACCGAGCAAGATGAAGCTCTTCAACTACCTGACCCTGAAAGAAAAATCATGTTTCAGATAGAAATTAAAAAGCACCTAAATTAATACTAAGGTTAGTCATTGGTGCTTTTTAAAAAATTGTTTTACCTGATCAAAGAATTGCTCAGATTTTGCATCTCCTGCTGGATGGAGTTCAGATGGGAGACGGTCAGGCAAAGATGATCTCTTACTTTGTACTTTACAAGGAGAATTGGAGGAACCAGCCAAAAGCCTGCAAGGTTCCACCTTTGCTGGCTCCAATTTCTTTGCTCCAGAGCCATCTTTGTTATCCTTAAGCTTGAGGTTTTGGTTCGAAGACACCGTATTATTATTTCCGAGTGAGCTGTGTGCAAGTGCAGGCTGACTGTGTTTTGGTATTTTGAAATTTAATTTAAAAGGCAAACATTTTAGAAACCCCATTTGTTTCAGAGTGGATGGCGGTGGCTCTGATTTGTTGCTCACGGGGGTTGAAGTGAAGCTCTTCCATTTCTTTGGGTTTGTCACTGTCATAGAGGGTTTCGGTGAAATGCAAGACTTCTGTGTGACAGAGGTAGGGGGATTTTTGGCATCCACACTCGTACTTCTGCTATACGGATAATTTTTACTTGTGTTCTGGTCTCGAGCCATGTTGCTCCATTTTTGAAAACGTTTGTAGTGGGAGGAGATGGGTTCTTGGGTCTTAGTATTCCTGCTGTCATGCGGGGATCTTGAAGGTTCTCTAGCTGATCCATTCCTCTTCTCTGATCCCTGCCTGTGATCTCTGTGTTCAGCAGCATCTAACTTGTTACTGATTTGCTCATTTTTTAGTTCAGAATAGCTGCCCTGAGAGCACTTTTTATCAGACTTGTCTTCCAATTTCTTCTCTATTGTCTGAGTAAGTAAAGCAGCACAGCTTGCCTTATTGGGCTTTGACTGGTCCCTTCTCACAGTTTTAATTTCCCTAGTTGTTCTAGATATACTGGATTGCCCTTCCATGTGTAATTGCAAAGGTCCATTGTTTTTAAGCTGCTCTTCTTTAGGAGAGACTTTCTGCTCTTCTTTTTTTGTTGACAGTCTGTAAACAGGCTTTGCTATCTGGCGGGAGCTGTGGGAGTCAACTTGATGAGATTTTTTCTGTTCCTTTTTAGAGCTGCATGTTAGACAGGAAGAAAAAAGGTGACATCAGAAGTAACTATTTAACCTGGGAACAAGTGTCTTTCAAAGGCATTCTAATCCCTAGAGCTTTTCCCCTATTTTGTCACAACCACAAACTACATGACAGACCAACACTAAGTAGGTTCATAATTTTGAAGCAAAGATAAAAGGTTATGTGATTTTACAAAAACATAAAATCTGACAAGTGTGTTCCGCAGTACTTCTAAATAAAACCTAATCATTCTGAAGACACAAACTCAGTAAAGGAACCACAAGTGTGTGATATAATCTCTGCTCAAGTACAGCTCTTCCTCGACAATCTTTCTAGTTAGTTAGTTTTCAAAAATAGAATTAGCCAAAATTTCTGTGTCTGGACATGCAAAGGACATGTACAAACCGTACATGACTGTTTTTTTTATAGAGCAAGATGGTTCTGAGTTGAAAGAGGGTGATGTTAATTTGTAAAATCTTTAGATAAATCAGTTAATTTCAATCATTTTACTTACACAAAGTCCTCACAATTATGCCGGACTTTGTTTGTGACAAAGATCTCAAACATAAACCAGTACGAGAAAGACCAAATCCGAGTCAAGCAGAAAACAATTATTTCAAGTATTAGCTGTAACACAAGCTACTTTCTGCATACTAATTGGATGCATGTAGTTTTTGAGCTTCTCAATTTTGGCTTTGTATTTGCTTAATAAATGATACAAACGTGGGGTTACACTAGGGTTAAGATGTAAAAAATACTGAACCAGACATCAAGACAGTGAATGTGACGCAGTGCATTTGGAACAAAAAATAAGTACCCAAAGTATTCAACAGAATATTGATATGTACGTATGTTTTTGTGCCCTTGCTCTGCCATGTTTATCTGCTCACATGCACACTGCTAATGCTCACCTAGCCATAACCATTGATAATACTTACAACCGGCCCCAGTCACACATAGTCACGGACAAAGTGAGACAACAGATCAACACCCCTTACTAATGGGTGCAGAAAGAAGCTAAGATAAAAGCGAAGCTTGCATTCCATTCTTTGCTTCACTTGTTTCATGTGAGCAAGCTGAAGCCCCAGCACTGGACAATGAACGTCACTCTGGATCTGTTCCATCTTAATATTCTGATTACTTTCGGGATTAAAGCTTAGCTTAATACCTAATCAAATTCTCGTTATTTCTAAAGTAATAACTCTACTGGTTTTATGGGCCGGGTCTCGAAACTTTACCTTTAAGTTAACATTTAGATAAAAACAAATATTAACCTGCACATCTATTCCTGTTATTCATATTTAAATGTTTATCTATTTATATAGACAACTACAAAAACATGAACTTTAAAAATGCTAAATTGTTCTGATGAAGAAGATCTGAAAAATGTAGGACCACCTAGCTGCTGAAAATAAGATTTGGAGTCCTGATTACAAACTTTATTTGGTCTACAAGTCTGTTGTACCTCTTTGGATCCATTTCGTCATTTTTTCTTTTGTGACTTTTCCTTTTGGAGGCATCATTTTGGCAGTTTGAACCCTGAAAACATAGGGGTTTTGTGGGAAACAAATGTCATAGGAATGATTGTACTTCACATATATTATCACAGTCAGTAAGCAATTTGCTCTTTCCTTGTAGGTAGTGGATTTTATAAAATCAAAAATATTTTAGCACGCTGGCATCATCATACAACGTGCATCATACAATGTGCTAGAAAGCTCATTGACTAAATCAGTGGTCCCCAACCCTGGTCCTCAGGGCCCACTGCCCTGCATATTTTAGGTGTTTCTCTGCTGCTGCACACCTGGGTTAAACGAACAGGCGATTAGGCAGCTTCTGCAGCAATGCAAAGGAGGTAATGCAAGCATATGAATCAGCTCTGCAGGAGTCCGGACTCATAAAAAAAATGCAGGACAGCGATCCCAGAGGACCAGGGTTGGGGACCACTGGATTAAATAACCTTAACATATCAAACCCTAAAAGCAGAGTCACTAAAAATAATAATAAAAAAAAAAATCCTTACCGTTTCTTCTTCGCCTGAAGATGAAGACAACCTATTTAGTTTTCTCCTTTTGGAATGTTTTGACATTTTTCTTCTAAAATTAGAAAGAAAAAAAAAATTAAAACAAAGGTACTGCTTACTAAATACAAACTGCTCAAAGAATTTGGAGGAATCTTTGAAAACAAACTAACCTCGGTGTATTTAAATGAAAATAAACATTCTCTTCTGGCTGTTCCAACTCAAAATTTGTCGTCAAAGTTTTCTTTCTTATTGGAAACTTGAAAAATAACCATAGATTTATTTGGATGGGAAATGAAAAAACGTTGTCGTTCAATTCAGAAAACTCGAAGTAAAAAAAATAAAATAAAATAAAATAGTACAGTTAAACTACGTCTTAAAACAGAGCTCACGAAACAGCAAATGTACGGACAAATCGTGGTATTTACTGTACAAAATACCGGTGTATCTTTACTTATTTAAACGACTGAGAGAAATATGTGTAACTTCTTGGAAAATCCGTCACGTTAGCCAGCTGGTAGCCAAAACATCCGGTTTGTCTTCTTCTAACACAATTCCGACAGAACTGTTCAATGTCATGCGCAGTGCTGCCCTCTAGAGGAAAAACATGTGGTTTGGCTTCGCTGCTGCAGAAAAAAAGCGTCAGGTAGGAATCTGGGGTTTTCCATATGACATCGACGTTAAATCAATTTTGGTGAGACACTCTTGGAGAAAGTGGAGTTCTGGGGTGTAACTTTTTGCATCGCACTCTTTACTTTTACATGACTAACAGTTAAGTATCGCTACTTGCTTGAATACCGTTTCTGGATACTCTCCTTAATTAAAGTAACTTCACTGAATGATGCTTTAATAAAAAAAAAAATGTGCTAGATATAGTCACACACTTACAGATAATTTTTAGATGAGATTTCCTTTTACACAAGCTTATGTTTAAATGTTGTTTTCCCCCCAGAGCCATAGAAAGATGCTGTTTGGTTTCTGTCAGGTGAGCTTTCTGGAACATTTGGAGATTAAAAATAAAATAGAATATATATATATATATATATATATA